GGCGTGTTCCCCTTACAGGGGGATCTTCGACGAAAAACAACACATACCCCAAAAACGCCCCAAAATAGTCAAAAGGACTCAAAAATAGTCCCCGGACCGTGTTCGGGCGTGTCCCCCTACAAAGGGATTTCCGACGAAAAACAACACATACCCAAAAATACATGCAAAATGTTTCAAAGTGCTCAAAAATAGTCCCCCGACCATGTTTGGATTCTTGTTTGACTATTTTGGGGGGGTATTTTATTACATTTTTCGTCGAAGATCCCCCTGTAGGGGGACAGGCCCGACTTCAGGCGAGCGCCAGGGCGCCTGGACCAGGAGGAGCAGCCGCAGACGAGAGGAGCGCGGACCGAGGGCGACGGAGAGAGGAGGGGGCCGGACAGGGAAGAGCGGGCGGATGGAACTCGGGTGGACGCGGAGGGAAGGAGGACGTTTTTCGTCGAAAATCCCCCTGTAGGAAGACAGGCCCGACTGAAGGCGACCGCCTGGGCGCTTGGACGCAGGGCGCGTGGACCGCCAGGAGGAGCAGCCGGACCGAGGGCGACGGAGAGAGGAGGAGGGCCGGACAAGGAAGAGCGGGCGGATGGAACTTGGGTGGACGCGGAGGGAAGGAGGCTGAGGTGGGTAGGCAGGGAAGTAAAGGTAGGAGGATGAGGTAGGGGAGGTAGGAGGACAGGTAGGAGGTAGGAGGATGAGGTGAGGATAGGTAGGAGGTAGGAGGAGGTAGGAGGATGAGGTGAGGATAGGTAGGAGGTAGGAGGACGAGGTGGGCAGGCAGGGAAGTACAGTCAGGGCGTTGACCTAAGGAACCCTAAATAAGGAACGAGGCCCCTTTTTTTCCAAAGCTGAACTTCGATTTGCCATGGAAAACCTAAGGAAAACCCACGGCGAACTGTAAAACAATCAAGGAACACCGAGCCCCTCCCCAACGAACAGGCTTCCTTCTTCAGCGCCCCGACTGTAAGCGGGGAAGTGTCCTCTCGTGGAGGATTGTGTGTTGGGCCCGCGGGCTCGGGTCATTTGGCAGCTGAGGAGGAGGAGGAGGAGGAGGAGGAGGAGGAGGAGGAGGAAGAGCAGCAATGCAAGACATATGCGGAAAACCAGGCGGAGGAAGACCGGCAGAGAGGGGATGCAGGGTGCACGCCAGTTGGTGGAGAAGAAACCGCAACTGTAGCTGCTGCTGATCCTCTCTCCAGCCGGACTCCTGTTCCTCCGCCTTTGCCTCCTCCTCATCCTCATCCTCGTCCTCCTCCTTCTGGGTTGCGTCGACTCCTCTTCCTCCTCCTAGTCCTCCTTCTCCACCTCCTCCTCCTCCTCCTCCTCCTCCTCCTCCTCCTCCTCCTCCTCCTCCTCCTGCTCGTCCCCCTCCTCCTCCTCCTCCTCCTCCTCCTCCTCCTCCTCCTCCTCTCCTCCTGCTCGTCCCCCTCCTCCTCCTCCTCCTCCTCCTCCTCCTCCTCCACTTCCTCCTCCTGCTCCTCCCCCCCAGGCTTCTGTTCTGAGCCCAGTCGGCGCCTGAGCCCGTCCAGCCACGGACGTCGCGATTCTGTCCCATCGTCGACCCCCAGAAATCTCGACCCCTTCTCCGGGACCGGCTTCTGCTCCCGAGCCGTTCTTTGACGGTCACGGGGCCCGGGAAGGGCCCCTGGAAGCCGCAAATGGCGAGAAACCTACCGTCGTGTTTTTTTCGCGCGGTCAACATCGAGCCCACTCGGCCGTCGAACGGGCGAGAACCCCGCCAGTATCTTGCATTCGAGCCTGCTCGGCTGCCCCCTTCGGCGGCCCAACGGGCCCACGCGCCGAGTGGGACTCGAGAGGAAGCCCTGGGGCCGTGCCCCCACCTCGCTTCCCGACCACATCCAGAGAAGCTGGGAAGCTACGTACCGCTGTCAGTGCACACGCATCTATCAGATGGAAGTACGACTCGTATGTTTATGATTCGTATGCTAGTAGCTTTATTAGTCGTCTGAGTAGTAATACTATTAGTATGTATGATATATGTATTTGTATATACATAAAGTATTAGTTATTTGTGTACGTATATATGTTTGTGAGTATGTAAGTATGTAAGTATGTGAGTATGTAAGTATGTATGTGTGCATGTATGTATGCATGCATGCATGTATGTATGTAAGTATGTGTCTCTGTATGTGTATACACATATATATATATATGTATACATAATATACATATATATATACTAGCAACAAGCGCACGCTTCGCGCGCGCTTAGGTTCTAGTCACGCTTGCGCCCACTCTTAGCAATGGCAATGCCGCCACGGCTACGACTTCTTTTTGCGCCATCACCGCGTTCACGATCACTTCCGATTCCATGTCCATTCTGGGCATGGCCACCTTTTCCACGACGATTGCACTTTCCGCGACCATTGTAACGGCCAACGTTCAATCTCCGCCTGTACCACCACCAATACCACGACCATTGCCACTGCCACTGCCGCGACCACCACGACCACCATCATCACCACCACGGCCAGTGCCACCGCGTCTACCATCGGAATCACCAGTAGCACCACAATCGGCGCACGAACCGCAGTCATCTCCACCTGGACCCCATCCAGGGCTGTCCTTGGTGAGGAGAGAAAGGTCGGCACGTCCGCCCCGGGGTCGGGTTGCCACCATCCTTTTTTGGTGGGCCCGGGGCCGGTTCAGGGGCACCAGTGGCCGAGAACGGCCTCAGGAAGCGAAGAGTTGCCCGGAAGCCTCGGGAGCAGCAACAGTACCCGAGGGCGTCCGGTCAGAGGGTTGTGTGGGGCCTCTTGGGGGCCTCTCGGGGGTCTATTGGAGGGTTCTTGGAAGCCTGTAGGGGCCGCTTGGGGGCCTCTCGGGGCCGAGGGGCCTCTTGGGCCGTCTTGGGCGGCTCTTGGGCCGTCTTGGGGCTCGCTTGGGGGCCTCCTGGGCTGTCTTGGGGCTCTCTTGGGCCGTCATGAGGCTCCCTTGGGGTCCTCTTGGGCCGTCTTGGGGCTCTCTTGGGCGTCTCCACGGGCGTCTTGGAGCGTGGGAAATCTGCAAAGGCGAGAAAGCAAAAAACATAGTAAAAACAAATGAAAATCAACGATTTTGGCCTCGTGAATCTCGGAACGCCTCTCGAAGCTCTCTGGGGGGGTTCTTGGAGGCCTCTGGGGCTGCTGGGGGGCCTCCTGGGCGCCTCTTGGGGCTCCTGGGAGCTTCTTGGGGCCGACGGCCCGAAAAGTCCATTCGGATCTCCCCGTCTTGGGGGCCTCTTGGGCCGTCTTGGGCGGCTCTTGGGCCGTCTTGGGGCCCGCGGGGGGGCCTCCTGCGCCGTCTAGAGGCTCTCTTGGGTCGTCATGAGGCTCCATTGGGGTCCTGTTGGGCCGTCTTGGGGCTCCCGTGGGAACCTCCAGGGCCGTCTTGCAGCGTCGGACAGCTGGAAAAGCGAGAAAGCAAAAAACATTGAAACAAAACAAATGAAAATCAACGATTTTGGCCTCGTGAGGCCATCTTGGAACGCCTCTCGGAGCTCTGTTGGGACCGTTTCAAAGTCTATAGGGCGGTCTGTTTCCCGTCTTGGGCCCATCTTTGGCCACGTTGGGGCAATCTAAACTTTCCTGGGGAGGCTTTTGGAGGCTCCCCGGGGACTTCTGGGAGCGTCCTGGGCCTCTCTGGGGCGGTCTGGCGCCTCCAGGGGTGAGAGCCCCGGAACCCCCATGCGCACCCGAGGTCGCGGTCCGGGGCGCCCCGGTCTCGTGCACGGGGATATATATATATATATATATATAATATATATATATATATATGTATATATATGTGTGTATATATATATATATATATATGTCAAGGAACACCGCCGAGACACCGAGGCACTTCGAAGCATACAAACAACAAAAACGCACTGGTAAGCCTCCGCATACCCCGGAGGAGGAGACACCGGCGGCTCTCCCGCCCGGCCGGGCCTCGGGTAAGACCCGCCCCCCAGATCGAGCAAGGCACGCCAAGGAAGGGCTGCCTCTGTACTGACTGCCCCGATCATTGGATACTGACTTTTTTCGGTCGCGATCGGTAGCGACCGATCGGCACTCCAAATCGGTCGCGGCCGATCGCGAATCGGTGGCGTCCGGTCGCCACCGATCGGTCGCGACCGATCGTCGCGACCGATTTTGAAGCAAATCGGTCGCGACCAATACCGAAATTTGAAGGAGAATCGGTAGCGACCGTTCTCGTCGGTCGTGACTGGAAGATTCCAGTATCCAATGATCAGGGTGCCGAGACACCCGACGTCGTGATGTTCTTCGCAGTGCAGCTCCCCAAAGGTCTACTCCAAATCCCATATTCATCGACCCCCCCCTGAAAAACCGGACCCCCCCTCCGAATGCGACCTAATATTCCGGACCCCCCCCTTCGATGGGGCGCTTTAATAAACTGGACCTCCTAAGCCCCAATCCAAAGAAAGCGCCCTAATACACCGGAACCCTTTACTTGCAAAAAAGGCGCCCTAAAAACCTGACCCGGGGGACGATTAAGAAGGGACTTGGAGTAGACCCCTTCCCCAGGGCCCGCTTTTCATTCCGAGCCGTTCTTTTGACGCTCCTGGTGCCCGGCGAAGGCCCCTGGAGGCCGCAAAAGGCCTGACACACAATCCGTCGTGATAGCTCCTTTGGCAACTCATGGGGGCTCTTGCGAACCGACGCTACTCGACCGTACTGGGGCTAAATCGACGCTAAGTTGGCGCTTTCTCATGATTCGCCAAGAGCAAGCGCGCGCCAGTGCGCCCTAGGGGCGAAAATTCGAGGACAATGCTGCCTCCCATGAGGTACTACCAAAGATACTTTTCACGCCGCGAGGATGTGAGGGCAGCCCTCGCCTTGAACAAGAAAAAACTGCATGAGCATGCCGAGGACGGGGGGCCAGCGCCGATCCAACAGAATCCACGCGAAGCTCCAGAAAGTCATGCGTATGCAGTGTGCTCCTCTCTCGGAAGACCCTCCTCCCAGGGTCCGCCGCGGCAGGAAGATGGGCCCCCGCTCCTCGGACTGCGAGCTGCTCGCGCCGTCGCGCCCCGCGGAGGGCTTGCCTGTGCGGGCGCTGGGCTGCGCGCCGGCACCGAGCCTGGCCAGGGCCGATCCCGGGCCCGCCCTGAGAGCCTCGGAAGAGAAGGGAATGACCCTATACACCGCTGCCCGTGCCTCGTTTCCGCCTGCGTGGGCCTGCTGTGAGGCCCTCGTGGCCACCGCGCTTCGGAACTCTGGTCAGGGTGCACCCCGGGGGGAGGTCTGGGGAGCAGCGGTATCCGTAGCTGTCGGCTTCTCAAGACCAGGGCGTCGCAACACAATCACCCTGCGACGTACCCAGCTCATCATCATCAGGTGTCCAGAAAACTTGGGCCAACTTAGCATGGACAGCGACAGTGCAAGTGCCGTCGTTTTTTTGGTGGAAGCTACTTGGGACGCGGGTGAGTTTCACGACTCGCAGGACAACGATCAAGAAACGAGGGATGAGGCCCCAGGCTCGATGAAAAATGGGTGCAGGAACACGGGGCAGGAGAAGGGCCAAAGAGGCGGGATGCAAAAGGGGGGTGCTTTCCGACGTTTGATGTTGTTGCTTTGTTTTCTTTGCTTGTTCTCGAGCGGAGCGCTGGACATGCAACGCTGCCCGCGCCATGTCGCTGCGGCGACCCAAGGGAAGAGCTGTTCATAGCTGGTGCAAGAAGCGAGCGAGGCCTGGGTCGCCTGTCCAATTCTGGGCCTCCCTTCCTGCACCTTGCAGCGCGGGAGCGAGACACCCGCGAAACAGCCGCGCGAAGAAAAGATGTGACCGGCACGTGCTCGAAACAAATACATCATACTGTGAACATGGGGCCTCGGTAGACCGCCTCCAACAGCTCAAGTCCTGGGTGGCTCCCAGGAAGCCTTGGTGGGCGAAGAGAGCCTGCGCAGCGGAATCTTCTAAGTAGCATCTGCGGGCCCGCAAGGCAACCACCTCGCAAGGTGCACGATCATGTAGGTTAAGTCCGAAGGACGACCGCTGCGCGGAGTAGGCTACAGCCGAACATATGATCAAGAAAAAGATACTTTAAGAAACCTGGGCCAGCTCTCCAACGTTTCGTAAGATCAATATGAGCCAAGTGTTCGCGTTAACGTTGGATGGGGCGAAAGTGTTCAAGAAGCTAGGCCAGCTTCCTGGCAAGTTGGTTGAGGAACGTTGGCCCAGCTTTTCGGGAGGAGGATTCGTAATCAGCTGCTCGACTGTATGGTAGCGGCGGCCCCGAAGGGCGACCGCGTGGAGAGAAATGTGGCCAGCATATCTGCATGTCTCAACCGTGGCGTCAATTCCGCACTTCGCAGCTCTCCAAGGATGGCGAGATCCCTCTTTCATCTGGGCAGCACCGCACTAAGCTCACCCCCCCACCCCCCCACCACAGCAGCCCTCGAGAGTGGCGGCAATTGCGCAGTTTGCAGCCCACCCCAGGAATGGCGAGGTCCCGCTCTGATCTGCGCAGCACCGCACTAAACCGCCCCATCCTCCTATCAGCTTCGAAAGTAGCGACAGTTGCTCACTTCGCAGCCCCCAGAGATGGCGAGATCCCGCTCTGATCTGCGTAGCGCTGCACTAAGCTGCCGCCCCCCCAGCAGCCCTCGAAAGTGGCGACAGTTTCGCAGATTGCAGCCCCCCAGGGTCTGCGTCGGACGTCACTCCGCGGGCCGCCCAGCAGCCCTCGGAAGTGGCGACGGTTTCGCAGATCGTAGCCCCCCAGGAATGGCGAGGTCAAATTTAGGTCCGCGTGGGGCGTCACTCTGCTGAACAATCCAGCAGCCCTCACAAGTAACGACAGTTTTTCAGTTCGCAGCCTCCCAGGAATGACGAGGTCTGCTGTAGGTCAGCGTTGAGCGTCACTCCGCGGGCCCCCCCCAGCAGCCCTCGAAAGTGGCGACAGTTTCGCATATCGAGTCCCCCCAGGCCCCCCAGGGATGGCGAGGTCTAATCTAGAGGTCCGCGTATGGCGTCACTCCGCGGACCCCCCCCAGCAGCCCTCCGAAGTGGCGGCGGTTCCGCAGCTCACGTGCCCCCAGCGACGGCGAGTCCCGCTCTGATCTGCGCAAGACGCCACGCCTTCGGCTCACCAGCAGCCCTCGAAAGTGGCGACAGCTTCAGAGACCGCAGCTCCCCAGGGCTGACGACGCAACATAGGACGGCGAGGTCAGAGGCAGGCTGGCAGGCCGGTGCAAGCTAGGTAAGAGGCAGAGGAGAGGAGGAGGGAAGAGAGGAGGAGGGAAGAGAGAACGAGGGAGGCGGGAGGGAAGGAGTGGAGACCGCAGTGCCCCATTCAAGCGAAAGCCCAACGCAAGCCTTTCTAGTCGTCCTGTGGGCCTCTGTGGGGGCCCTCTACTGGCCCCAGGACCGTCACCAAGACGGCGCAGGATAAAGCTCGGGCCCCGGAAAGGTGGCCGAGATCGCTGGGGGCCGGCCCCACGAGGGACCTTGCGGCGTCGGGGGAGGGAGCACAGGGGCTGCGCACGCGCCCTTCCCGACTTTTCGGAGGTTCCCACAGCCTGACGCCACAGGTTGCGCACGCGCCAACCCGAGCCTGACGCCACAGTCGTTCCTCGATGTCCCAGGTCCCAGGGCGCCTCGATCGCACCGCGTCGCCCTCAGGCGACGCAGTGGTGCGACCCTCGACGGCCTGGGGTACATGCATCGTGGCACTACGGCACCCCGCACCGGGCGCAACATAAGAGCATTGCGCCCTCGTCGCCCAAAAAGGCAACATCGCGAACAATCACCTCTGGAGGCCTAGGCCGCATCTTCTTGCAGCACTTCTCAGGTCGGATCGATCCCAGGGGGCCCCTGGGTCCGACACCTGGCGAAGACGCCCGGCGCCCCAGAGTCGCAGCGTCCGGATCTCAGGGCCCTGGCTTCGCCAGAGAGGCACACGTCCCGCTCGCGAGCCCGAGATCGGCCCTACCCAGGATCGGTGTGGCTCCCCGCCGGGCCCCTCCCGAGTGCGAGCCCGTCCGCCGCCGAGTGGGCCGCCGAGCGGACTCGAAGCCGAGAGGCTGGCGGGGAGCTCGCCCGCTCGGCGGCCGCGTGGGCTCGACCTCGAGTCCATTCGAAGAGGAGGAGGAGGAGGAGGAGGAGGAGGAGGAGGAGGAGGAGGAGGAGGGAGGAGGAGGAGGAGGAGGAGGAGGAGGAGGAGGAGGGAGGAGGAGGAGGAGGAGGGGGGGGGGGGGAGGAGGAGGATGAGGAGGGGGAGGAGGAGGGGGAGGGGAGGAGGAGGAGGGGAGGAGGAGGAGGAGGAGGAGGAGGGGACTGGGGACCGGTCGGGTGCCGACGCCGAATGGGCGCAGAAGCGAACCTCTCTGGGCGGTGTCACTCGGCGTGGAGTTTAGCTTCCTGCGAGGGTGCCCCGCGGCAGCGGCCAGCACCTCCTCGGGAAGCAGCAGCCGCACCAGCGGTGCGGCGGCGAGAGGCCGGCCAGGAAGCCGTAGACCAAGTCTACCTGCTGGTGCTGCTGCTTCCCCTCGGCCGTCTCCTGCTGCTCCCGTCTCTTCTGCTCCTTCTCGTTTGGTGGGCCTGCTTCCACCGCCACCACAAGTAGTAGGAGGGGGAGGGGGTCCTCCTCCTCCTCCTCCTCCTCCTCCTCCTCCTCCTTGTCCTCATCCTCATCCTCCACCTCCTTCCCCCCTCCAACGAATGGTGGTGGTGGTGGTGGAAATCAGGCCCATCATAGTTTGTCCTCCAAGATACCACCACTTACGATATCTGTTTAGATGTATGGATACGTTCACACCCCTCGCAGTACCAGAGCCACTCTATTACCACGTCGTATCTTCACGCAGTGGCGCACACATGTCGGGCGTAAGCACGAATTGAATATATAGGGGCAGCGCGGACTAGACAGAAAACGACTTCTAGGTGCTTACCACTGGTAACCGATGGGTGATTGGGATCCGCGTCACGGGGGGAGCCTCATACATATATGATGTTAGCCAGCGTGCACCCCAACCAGGTGAGTCATTGCACTGTGGAGGTTGCAACTATTCAGCGTAAGCTATCTTAGTGCAAGCGATGTCGGGCAAGCAATGTGGTGAGAGCTATGACTGTGGTAGCTGTGCGGCGCAATCCTTGTGTGCTAGCTAGACCACGTAAGCTATGTGACGTGAGCGAGGGGCTATCGCTACACGGTGTGAGCTATGCGGTGGCACGTGCGTGGTGTGAGCTGTGCGGTTTTAGGCATGAGGTACTATGTCGTGTAGCCTATGTTATGTAAGCTCAGCGCACGGTGCGCCCAGGTGCGCCCACAAAGGGAAACGGGCGGCAACGTGGCGCAGCCTCGGCCGACGTACCCAACGCACGAGCCGCCCACGAGCGCCCGCGAGGCGGCAGAGGCGACACGGCGGCGCAACCTCGGCAGGCCCCCCCGAGCGCCAGGGGCGCCCACCAGCGCCCACGCGGCGGCACGGCGGCGGAGTGGCGGAAGCCTGGCCGACGCACCCAACGCGCTGGGCTTCACGTGGGACGTCCTCGGCCGACCCCTCCAGATATCTCAGGAACGGACATGAGAAACTCTGAATGCCACCCCGGCCGGGGGGAACCGTGGCTCCTCCGGCCTCTCACGCGACTCCCCCCCCCCCCGCAGCGAGTGCACTTAGGGGTTGGTTCTTGCCCCGTTCCCGTACCCAGACATGCAACGTCCTGATCTGTTCAGGACGGCGTCCCCGGAACTCCCGACCCTCTCCCCGGGGCCGGCTTGTCATCCTGAGTCGTTTTCTGACGGCCCCGGGGCCAAGCGAGGGCCCCCAGGGGCCGAAAATGGCGTAAAAGCCCTCCGCCTCCTCCTCCTCCTCCTCCTCCTCCTCATCCTCCTCCTGCCTGGGTAGAGAACTGGCAGGGGCGCCCACGGGGCTGCCCGCGCCCCGCCCGCGGGCAGCCCCGTGGGCGCCTCGTGCGCTGCGTGGGTCGGCCGAGGTCTCGACTGGTGCGCCGCCCGTGCGCGCGCCCGCGGGCGCCTCGCCTCAACGGCGCCCCGCGCGCTGCCCGTGGGCGTGCCGAGGTGTCGCCCGTGTGCCCGCCCGCGGGCGCCCGCCTCCGACGACGGCGACGACGGCGTCGACGACGAAAAACGGCGTCGACGACGGCGTCGACGACGACGGCGACGACGACGACGACGACGACGACGGCGACGACGACGACGACCGACGTCGACGACGACGACGACGACGACGACGACGACGACGACGACGACGACGACGACGACGGCGGCGGCGGCGGCGGCGGCGGCGGCGCGCGCCCGAGGGAGCGGCGCGGCGCGCGCCGAGGATATTCGCCCAGGCTCGCGCCACGCAGCCTTGTTCCCGCGTGGCGTGGAACGCGCAGCCGGTGAGCCAGGGAGCCACAGAACGAGAAAAAGATAGGGGTAGAGAAGAGAGAGAGAGAGAGAGAGCACAAACACATATATATATATATATATACACATACATATATGTATATATTCAGCCGGTGAGCGTGGTTTCTTTTACTCGGCGTTTCGACAGTGGGCGGAAGGGGGGGGGAGGGGAGGGTCTGGCATCAGACCTCTGCTCAGTGCGGCTGTTTGGGACCGTGCGTCCTACTATGGGAGAGAGTCCACCTGCTCGAAACAGGCGCCAAAAACAGCCAAGATACACTCCGGGGGGGGAGGGGGGGTGCGAGGGCTGGCGCCGATCGGCAAAACAATGAATGAAAAAACGCCCACCTTGCTCCACGCAGCTGACACCACATTGCTTACACTACCGAGCGTAAGCCACGCACAATGCACCACATAGCTTGCACCACGTAGCGCACACCGCATGGCTTACACGAGATACCTCACAACTCATAGCGTGCACCACATTGTCTACACCTGCACGTCACAGCTTACACTACACAGCCTGCACTGCATTGCGTATACAGCACAGCTTTCACTGCGCAACGCATGCACCGCAAATCCCATACCGCGCAGATCAAACCGCGCAGAATACATTACATTGCTTGCATCGGGTAATTTGCACCGTGAAAGTTGCAGCATGACGCTTGCTCTGCATAGCTCGCACCTTCATGACAGAGCTCACACGACGTAGCCTGAGCAGGCCGCATAGATTGTACCATGCCGCCTTGCACCACATAGCTTGCACCACATACATACTACGCCTCATCGCTTGCCCCACAACTGACACATTCGCAGTACACTGGCTTCTGGCTTGAGGCCCACTCTGGCAAACATACCCCACTCCTGCTTCTCTATCACCGGCCGCTGCTACTGTATGAATTCCCCGGGGGGGAAACGCCGAGCGATATCGCTAGCACCACGACACAGTTAAATCATCAGATCATCCGTCGGGGGGCAGTGGGAGTTAGAGGAGCAGGACGGCACAAGAGAGGCATCAAGACGGCCTGTTCGGAGGCAACTCTCTTGGGCTCTCATTGGGATCCGATTGGGGTCTTGTCGGAATCCTATTCGAATCTTGGTGGGATCCTGCGCTGAGGGTCCAGGGGCGGGATATCGCTTTCAGGGCAAGACGCTGAATATTTTCACCGAAAAGGGGCGGGGCGGGGAGAGGGGGGTCGATAATTGCTTCCCAGAGTTACTCCTCCTCCTCCTCCTCCTTCTCCTTACTCCTCCTCGTCCTCCTCCTCTTGCCCCCTCTGACGAGCATCTCATTCCTGATCCTCTCCCTCATTCCTCCTCCTCCTCCTCCTCGTCACGTGAGATCCGACATTGCGAACAAAAATACAGCATAGGGAAAAATCGCCATCGGAGCCCTGCATCCAAATCTCCTGCGGCACTCTTCGCACCCAGATCGACCTGGGCACTTCTCGAGGGTCCACCTCCTCCCTCCTCCGCACCCCCCCCCCCTCCCCCGGAAGGTCGACCGCGGGCTCCACGGCGAACACCAGGAACCCGCTCAACACGAACGGCATCAGGATCGAGTGGAGGTGGTACCTGCCGCCGCGTCTGTGAGGGTGGGCGTGTTCGAGTGGGCCGGCTGAGAGCGGGGGAAGCGTCGCCCCGGAGGAATCAAGACGTCTCCGAAAGATCGGCGACGAGCCCCCGATAGCGTAACCGCACGTGCCCGGGAGGGGTGGGCTATCGGGCCCCTTCACGTGGGCGATAGAAGGGCAATTGGGGGGCGCTGGTTCGACGCGTCCTGCCCTGAGCCGCCTGTCCTCCTCCTGCGCCTCCTCCGCCTCCTCCTCCGCCTCCTCCTCCTCCTCCTCCTCCTCCTCCTCCTCCTCCTCCTCCTCCTCCTCCCCCTCCTCCTCCTCCTCCTCCTCCCCTCCTCCTCCTCCTCCTCCTCCTCCTCCTCCTCCTCCTCCTTCGCCTCCTCCTCCTCCTCCTCCTCCCCTCCTCCTCCTCCTCCTCCCCCCCTCCCCCTCCCCCTCCCCCTCCCCCTCCCCCTCCCCCTCCTCCTCCTCCCCTCCCCTCCTCCCCCCTCCTCCCCCTCCTTCTCCTTCCCTCGCCTCCTCCTCCTCCTTCTCTTCTCCTCCTCCTCCTCCTCCTCCTCCTCCTTCTCCTCCTCCTCCTCTTCCTCCTCCGCGTCCTCCTCCCACTCATTCTCCTCCTCCTCCTCCGCCTCCTCCTCGTCCTCCTCCTCCTCCTCCTCCTCCTCCTCCTCCTCCTCCTCCTCCTCCTCCTCCTCCTCCTCCCCCAAACGTTACCCCAGAGCCTGGGAGGGAGAGGACGAGCAGCGACGGGGGGGGGTGGGAGCGAGAGGCTGAGGAGGACGAGGCCTGGGGCTTGGAGGAGGGGCAGGATACGGAGGAGCAGCAGCAGGAGGAGAGACAATTCAGCACGGCTTTTTGTTCGCTATTTCTGGCCTCTGGGTGCCCTCACGGGGCCCAGGGACCGTCATCGAAACTGCTCGGGGTCCAAACCAGTCCCAGGTAGGGGGTCCCAACCTTTCGGGCCCGACGTTGTCAAAAAGTTAACGAGGTCGGGGTTCAAGGGATCAGGAGAACGAGGACACGGGGAAGAAGCGGACGAGGAGGAGGTGGTGGTACAAGAACTCGTGCGCGCAAACGAGCGCCACCACCGCGAGGCACAGGACAGCGAACTGTTGCATCAGAAGCGTCGCAGCGTTGCCGCCGCCGATCGACACTCCAGAGAAAACTTCTGGAGCCATGTGCCGCCGACCTGGCGAGTCTTACAGACACCGCAACAGGTTGTACCCGCCACAGTGCTCCCTTGCACGCTCAGACGTGGTAGAATGCCAAATGCTTTCTGGCAACATGTATGTAATCTTCCAAGGGGCACCCAACCTCCCGGGTCGCACACAGCGGCGCGCACCGCCCTCTCTTTCCGAGGCTCCCCGGGAAGCAACTTCCCTAGCGCTCTCTATGGCGTCCCAAATTCCCAAGATGGCTTCCCAGACGAATCTGGGAGGCCACCAAGGCCGCCAAGATGGCCCAAGATGCCTCCAAGACTGCCGAGAATAGCCACACAGATGGTCCAAGATGGCCTTAGGACCGCCAAAGAGGCCTCCAACACAGACCAAGAGGGCTCCAAAGGAGCCTCCAGCAAGGCCCGAAGAGGCCAGCATCATTGATTGCCCTTAGGTTGTTGAGCGATGTTTGCATTCCCGCCTTTTCTAGCTTCCGTCCGCTCAAGGCGGCCCAAGAGGCCTCCAACATGGCCCCAGGACGGCCCAAGAGGGCCTCATGATATCCCACAAGGCCTCCAAGACTGCCACAAGACAGCCTGGGAGGGCCTTGGCGAGCTCAGGACAGACCCAGGAGGGCCTCAAGCTGGCCCTACATGGCCTCCAGAGGAACCCAAGACCGCCTAAGAGCCGAAGAGGTCAAAGACGGCGGAAGAGTGCTCTAAGACTCCAAGCGGCACCCAAGAGGGCCTCAATAAGGCCCGGAGAGCGGTAACACGAACCAAGAATGTGAGCCTCCTGGCCCAAGAGGCACCCAGCGGCCCCCCTTTGCCTTCTCGAGCAGCTGCTACCCAGAATGCTGCGCTGGCACGGTGGCGGAATCGCCGGAGGCAGCTGAAGATATGAACAGCCTGGCGAGGCCAGGAAATGACCTGAGGAGTTAGACAGCTGAACCGACTGCCTCGAGCCCAAACCGAAGGCAGAGACACAGAAGACAAGGATCATGTGACGATGCATCTGTGAGCTGCCTCACCGTGCCGCAGGCACTGAGTGGAGAGTCCTCGGGTCTCGTCGTAATCTTGGATTTGAATATTGTATGTTAGTCAGCGTGATCCAAAGCAGTAAGTTATTACAGCGGAGGTGGAGTACTTGTTGTGCAAACTATGTAGTTTAAGCTATGCTGTGTAAGGTTTGCGGTGCATCTATGTAGTGAAAGCTATATTTTGTAAGCAGTGGCCTAAGCTATGTCGTGTAAGCTAAGAGGTATGTGTGATATGGTATGAGCTGTGCTGAACAATTGCAGGGTGTAAGTTATGGTGCGTAGGGTGTGCGATGTGCACTTGATGGCGTTTTTTTGGTGTGCTGCAAAAGACGTGGTCCACGATGCACAGCGCAAGCAGTGCTGTGCAAGCTCTGTAGTGTGGTGTTAGCCGTGAGTTGCAGGCCCTGAGGTGCAAGCCACGTTGTCGAATCGACGTGCGGTCAGCCCAGGAGGAGGAGGAGGAGGAGGAGGAAGAGGAGGAGGAGGAGGAGGGAGAGAGGAGGAGGAGGGAGGAGGGAGGGGGGAGGGGGAGGAGAGGAGGAGGAGAGGAGGAGGAGGAGGAGGAGGAGGAGGAGGAGGAGGAGGAGAGGAGGAAGAGGAGGAGCGGGCGCCCACGAGCGGGCACCGTCGCAAGCGAGGCGGGACCTCCAGCGACCCACCTCAGCGGACGGGCCCACGAGGCGCCCACCAGCAGGCGAGTGGGCGCCCACGCGCGAAGCCGCGGGCAACGCAGCAAGCGCACGGGGCGCCCACCAAGAGCCTCCGAGCGGTTGGCGGCGCGCAGAGGGGGGTAGGGGGAGGGGGGAAGGCTTCTTAGAAGCACCCTGCTTCTTAGAAGGCCTCGACCCTACGTCTATAGAGAAGGCCGCGCCTTCTAAGAAGCAGGGGTGCTTCTAAGAAGCCTTCCCCCCTCCCCCTACCCCCCTCCGCGCCAGCGCGCGAAGCCTCGGGCAACGCCGCCAGCGCACGGGGCGCCCACCAAATCGGATGCCTTATGAGTCCTGAGGAATCCCTAGGAAACCAACGAGGCAAACCCTCCGCAAGCCCAACTGGCGCACGGGCCCACGGGGCGCCCCACGAACGGGCAAGGGCGCCCACCACGGCGAAAGCTTGAAAACGTGGCGGGGTCCATGGGGCTCCCTGCTGTGTTCCTGGGCCTTGTCGCGTGACTGTTCCGGATGTCAAGAACCAGTGGAAGCGCATGTTGTTTTTTAGACCCTGGACGGGGAGCACGAAATTACAGCGGGAGTTTTCTAGTGCCAAGTGGCCCCCGAAACCGCCAAAAGGCCCCCAAAGGCGTCCAACGGGCCCCAAGAGGCACCCTTAGATACGTGAAGAGGCACCCAGAAGCCTTCCGACCTACAGACAAGTTCCCCGAACAGCGTTTGCACCTGAGGGTCCTTAGTGCGGGATGACGATTAATAAAAAAGGGGAGAGAACGATTAGAAACATAGTTTTCTGCGATGTCTGCACAATTTTTAGACTGGAAGAGAACGGTTTTTTAAAAAGAATAGTTTTCCAGCCCGCGGCTGGTTTTTTCTAGTCGTCATCCCGGGCGCCGCCGCGTGAACACGACCCCCGGTCATTTATTAATCGTCATCCTCCATTATTCCTCTTCTACGGAACTGGGCCTGGCTCGCGGTCTGGCGGCTATGCGGCCGCCGTCGCCGCCCCGTCTCCGCGTCGTAGCCGCCCGTTGTCTGGGCATGGCTGGCGGTCTGGCGGCGATGTGGCCGCCGTCGCCCCCCCGTCGCCGCCACGCTACCGCCCATCCCGTCGCCGCCTGGATTGCACGACGTCGATTCTTCTTTCTAATGGGAACTTGGATCAACCACCGCCACCTGGTCTTATCGTCCCCCTGGGGTGAAGTAGTTTGCATACGACTTTGCCCCAACGCCCATCTTCTCCATTTGAAAAGTGCCGGAACGTCCAAAACTGCCTCGGCGAGGAAACCACAATCATTGGTTTTACTCAGGTTTTGGCCCCATTTGGGCCTCGTGACGGGGGGACCCAAAATAGCGCCCCCCCCTCCTGTGATCGATCTTACCCAAGATGGCCCAAATATGGCCACCAAGGCTCCCAAGGGTGCCCCAAGAGGGCCCCAAGAGGTGGCCAGGAAACCCCAAGAGGCCCCCAGGATGCCCCGAAGAGGCCCCCAAGAGACCCCCAAGAGGCCCCAAGAGACCCCCAGAGGCACCCAAGATGCTCCAAGAGGCCTCGGCGAGAATGCCAAATCATTGATTGCACTAAGGTTTTAGCCACGTGTTGGCCTCTTGGGGGGGCGCTGATTAAGATGACTCCAAGAGCGCCTGGGGGAGCTCAACATGACCTCCAAGATGGCTCAAGATATCCCGAGCTGTCTCATAATGGCTCCCACGATGCTCCCAGATGCCCCAAGACCGCTCCAAGGTTGCTCCCAATGGCCAAAGAGCGCCCCCAAGAGGCCCCGAAGAGGCCAGAGCCTGAGGAAATTCTATGTGTTAGGCTTTCTCGCCTTTTCGCTTCCGATGGCCATCCGAGGCCTCAAGATGGCCCAAGAGGGCTCCAAGAAAAAGGCTCCAGAGAACCCCAAGGCGGCCCCAAGAGCGCCTGAGAGCGCTCCAAGAGCGCCCCAGGAGCGCCCCAAGAGGCGATTGTTTGGGCTGCCGAGGGGCAGCGCTGACTAATGCTCGCTTCTTGTTTGATCGATGTCCCCCAAAATGGCCCCAAGAGCGCCCCCAAGGCTCCCAAGAGCACTTCAAGAGGGCCCCAAAAAGGCGCCCAGGAGGCCCCAACAGGCGCCCACGAGGCCCCCAAGATGCCCCCAAGAGACCCCCAAGAGGCCCTAAGAAGCGCTCCGAGGCACCCAAGACGCTCCAAGAGGCCTCCACTGGGGGACCCTTCCTCTGTGAGTTACCCACTTCCCTGATCGAGGCAATTCCTCTGGGCATCGTTTCTGGATGGGCTGGTGGGGTTACTTTCTCGTCGCGGCCGCAGGCGAGCGCGCCGGCAGCGTCAGAGGTCGGGCGGGCTACGCGCGAGCCAAATTGCCTAGCGCACGGGGACCGACAGCCGAACCTAAGCTGCCTAAGCTGCCTAAGCTGCCGGGTTGCGCGAGGTGGAGCCAGGAAGCGGGGCAGGGCCCGAAACCTTGCCGACGGGCGATGCAAACTGCGACCAGGACCAGGATCCCGGGGCAGTGCCGATGCACAAATTGAACCAAGGAGCTAGACGCAGCCAAAATGGCGCGGCAAAGTCACAGACAGCGCAGCTGACGAGTGACCGCAGAGGGCGTGTGGACTTGACGCAGGATAAACCACACGAGACATCCATGCACCCAGCCCCTGAGGGGTGCAGCTCGCTTGCATTGACGGAAAGATGGAAGACCGCTCCAAGACTTATGCTGCTCCCATCCTACTTGAGGACCACATCCCCAAAAACAATTCGAGCACCTGGAAAAGTGTCGAACGAGTGTCGAAAGAGTGTCGAAACAGTGTCGGGCGAGTGTCTCCCAGGGCCCGACAACCGAACACCATCGAGTTTCGGTATTTTTTGGGACGCTCGAAATTCGCTCCGCTGATCAAGGCTGAAGAAAATTGGAACATCATCATCCAAGACGTCCAAAACGGCCTCCAGACGGCCCAAGAGGCCTCCAAGACAGCCGAAGAGGCCTCTTTGATGGCCCAAGAGGCCTCCAGGAGAGCACTCCCAGGACGGCCCCAAGAGGCACACATCATGGATGATCCTTAGGTTTGTCTTGGAGGACCTCAAAAAACACTCTCAAGAGGGTCCCCAAAAGCAAACATCACTGATGCCCCGCAAGTTTCAAAGCGATGTTTGCGTTTCCGCCTTTCCGGGTGAGGCCCCCCGGATCGTTTCAAGACGGCCCAAGAGGCCCCAAGAGGGCGCCGAGACGGCCCAAGAGGCCCCCAAGACGGTTCAAGAGGCCTCCAAGACGGCTTAAGAGGGCCCCAAGAACGCCCCAAAACGGACCTCAAAAGGGGGACACGAAACGACATGTCGAGATCTCCGCCCCAGGAGGCCCCCAAGAGCCCCCCAAGCGGCCCCTGGGAGGCCCCCTCCCTCGGACGTCCCCAAGAGGTGGCTCTCAAGAGGCGTCAGCACTTCCCCCCAGAGGCCACCGAGAGCCCTCCGAAGAGACCCCAAGAAGCGTCCATGAGGACTCTGACCCACAACCCAGGCATGGTGGCGGGATGGGACGGAGGCCACTCGGCTGCAGAAGCACACGTTCATAAACGTGTAAAAACGCAAACATATGCCTGTGCTCCCGCCCCTCATGCCGCGGTCGACACCCAGCGAATCCTGGTATCCCGCCTCGCGTCATCGACAAATCACGATCAGCGCGATCCCGCATGCCGCGGCCGCCATGTCCCAAGAGTCCTGCGCGATCCCTAGTGTCCCGCATCGCGTCCCCGACAAATGACGACGGAAACGACGACAGACCTCAATTAACGACACAGTGAACAGGCACAGACTGAACACATATCAAGAACGCACCTGAACACCATACACCGCAACTGCAAGAGCGGATGTAACAAATACATGACACACATACATGGCCACCATACGTAACACGCGTTGGCAATTATGTTTCGTCCTGGACCGTTCCTGACTGCTGCTGGGCGCGAAACCTGCACCCGAAGAGGGCCGACCCTTCGATCCGACGCTGCGAAAGAAATGGTACATCGTGAAAAATCACGGCCAGAGCCCAAGACCCCGCCTTTCTGCGGCACTTCTCGCGCCGGATCGATGTGTGACGGTCCCGGGCCCGAAACCTGGCGGAAAAGCCTGGCGTGAACACATGCAACGCCAGGATCTCAGGGTCCTCCTCCTCCTCCTCCTCCTCCTGCTCCTCCTCCTCCTCCTCCTGTTGGGCCGCGACAAATGAGGGGGGGCGATGGCTGCAGAAAAGGGGCAGTTTAGGGCCCCTGAAGGAGCCCTTTAGGGTTTGGGGTCCCAAAGGGAGGCCTTCGGGGTCCGAGAAGGGCACCTCTCTCCCCCTGGTGCATCGCCCCCCCACGG